GCCCGTCTCTGAGCTCCATGACTCCAGCTACGCCGCTCCATGCTAGTAATTAGTCTACTTGTCAAGGCAACTGCTTACCTCACCTGCTAATGAAGAGCCTGCGTCTCAGTATTCAAAGGCCAGATTCATCCGCCCAATGCACTTACCTTCACTGAGCACAAGAGCAGATCTGCCTTTGCTGTAGGGATGGGCACGAGTACTCGAAAGAGACAGCGATTATCAATCAAGAAAACGATGATTTCTTGTTCTAATTGGTTATGGCAGCATTTTGGACACCCTAAAAAAATTTGTGTCATTATTAAGAGACTATAAAAATGCTGCAGCAAACACCTTTTAATTGGTTAAAGGGGTCATGAACTGCATTTTTTTATAATGTGCTCTGAGGTTCACTTATAATGTTAGTGCGATTTTACATAAAAAAAACTATTTATAAGTAATAAGTTATTTTCTGTGCTGTTTTTGAGCCTCTCTGCAGAACACTCTGTTTTTATATTTTATATAGTAAACGCCCACTGCTGTGATTGGCTGACGGTTTCACTTATTAAAATAACAGACAGACGCTGCTGTGACGTACTCTGAAAACAACATGGGTCATCTGGGTTAAAAAGGTGATATAAACTCAGTTCATATCAAACGGTCTGGAGCACAATGCAGTAGTGGTGAAAGCAGGTTTCTTCACACGTCTGTGCTGCGACATTACTGTCGATCCGCTCTAGTCCCTCAGCGCTGCATCAGCCTTTACTCTCAGTCTCTCTCTGAAAAGATCATCATACCGTCTCGTTTAGAAATGAATCCGTAGCAAAGTAAAGCAAACAAACAGACAGTGTTTGGCTGACACGATCTGGAGCTCTTTGCTCATTTCCCCCGTGTCTACACCGGATGTGACTCTAGACGACAGAACCCATTATAAATTCTGTCTACACTGCATACGGCACAGATTGACAACAAATCCCTGACAGTAAACTGATGTCCCGCTCTATTTCTGACACCGCTTCTGACCTGAAAGAGAAACGGATTCGCGGCATGACGCAAGAGCGCTCGCGTCTGATCTAGATATGTTAGGATCACAAGGAAGGCAATTCAAACACTATTTTTCACTACACAGTGTCTAGTTAGTATTTACCTCAGCTTGTGGAAAAGCTACTTGTGATGAACTTTGTGTCTCATGTGTCTTTCTCTTTATCATCTGCATTTTTATTGTCAGTGTACAATAAAGTTACAAAACAGATTTTAGTACTTCGGTAGTTTGGTATATTAACATTATATCAGTTTAAGACATATACTTTTTTTTACTGTAAATTTAAAATCTGTGAAACCTGAAATGCTGCTACCGTATATTTTACAGTAAATATCTGGCAACCACACTCCTGTTTTTACATTTCTCATATTATTTTTTACAGTGTATCTTGAGGTCTGATTGGTAAGCGTTAAGACAGGCCATCCAGACCAGGGAACTAAAGTGAAACGATGGCTTTGAAAGCATGCACTGATGCCTGGAATCACTCTGATGATGAAAATACAGTGTGCAAGATGTGCGATGCCACTCCGTGTGGCTGTAAGCTGTAATATTACATTGATGTCGTATACTGTATGCCTGATTATTCTCAAATGGGATGTGTTTGGGTAACTGACCTGCTACCAAAGCGTTTCAATTATCAGTGTTTATTCACTGTTCACTTTCAGCTCATGCATCAAACAGCAATTACTGACTGTAATATACATAATAAAATAATGAGTACACTATTGTTACAGACTGTTGTAAGTCTTTGACAAACAAGGTAAAGTTCACTTGTGCAATCTCATACTTTTTGTGCAGATGTAAGTTGTATTATTATCTGATTGATCTCATTTAAGATTTGTTTCGTTGACGCAGCTCAACATTACCTTTAAAATAATCATATTCCTGCTTTTTTCCCAAAACCTTTGATGCATTATTTATAATGACTAGCAGTGTTATTTTTCTCATATCATTAAGTATGATTTAATTATGTGCATGTGAAGTCCAAAAATGGGCAGGTCAATGGTCAACTCATCAAACTGGTGCCCATCAAATATCACACGATGTGGAAGAGAAATGGAAAAACAATCTGACTTTAAAAAGGTGCAGTTAAAACGAGCTTGTGTCAAGCATTCACAGCCGCACTCAACCTTAATGCCATCAGCGCAGGAACGAGCGGGAAGCATTATTCACTGGATATTCAGGCACAAATGCCTTTAAAGAAATGAAAAGGTATACGTATATGGAGCCAGAACGTAGCATTCATCTAATTTAAGCATGACAACTGAGGCGTCCAGCCCAGAGCCACGAACACCAAAGAGACTGGAGCAAAAAGCCCAGCAGTGCGTTCAGAAGATCCCGTCTCAGCCGTCTGCAGGACAGGAAGGATTATAGATGTTGATATCATATTCGATATGTGCTGAAAATGCCCTGAACGTATTGATTTATTTACATGCGCATCCATCTGGCCCGGTCTGGGGAAAACACGGCCACAACACTCACCCGAGAAAAGACTCTCAAAACAATCTCAAACTCTCCATTGATCCCGCTGAAGTGAGTGGATATATATCCAGCCGTCCCAAAGGCACAATTCCTGCGTCTCTTAAATGCAAACAGGGAAGAAAGGAATGAAAGAAAATAAAAGATGGTGGTGTGCGAGGGCCGTGGCTGGTGTATATGAGGCTATTGATCCGCGCGCTGGCTGGAATGATGGATGCGCCTGCCGACAGCGCCAGACAAACCTGTTAGCTACTTGCCAGCAAAGACAATTATCCAGGCATTGCTTGATGAAAGCAACACATTACAAAAGTCTAATATTCACACAGGGAGATTCAGTAGTTGAAGCGTGGAGCCCCTGTGCGCAGGAGTTCACTGCCCCGCGCGGGACTGTGCGGGTCAAAATACACGTCACTCTCATCTGAATCTGAGCTGGGCTAGTGCGGACGGCTGGCGCGGTCACGTGACAGAGAATGGAAAGGCTTGAGCCTCTGGAAAACGTTTGAAAACCGAACCAAAGAAAAAGCATTGTCCTGTAATCATTTTCTAAACACCTCATAGTTTATTATCAAACATCTGAAACCTCCAACAAAACATTTTTTATTATTAAGTTGGCTTGAAAAAGTCAACGTACTGAAATCCTATTTAAACTTCTTCTTCTTCTTCTGAGACCAAATTTTAAAGTGTATCTCCTCCTAGACTTTTAAAGCTACAGCCACCAAACTCGGATCAGACTCCAGACCGGTCTGACTCGGTGTGATATATCTTTTCTAACTGATCCGGCTTACGGTTTTCATAAACCAGACTATCAAAACCACCTAAAATCCCATAGACTTTCATTGATGGGGTGCAAACTTTTATACAATAAGATTTATGGTGTATTTAAGCTGTCTATTGCTATAACAAAGCTTAACGACTCCCTACTGAAAATACAGCTAAAACCAGCCTAAGCTGACTGACTGCTTTGGCTGGTCTCCCAAGCTGGTTTTAAAGTGGTTTTGGCCAATTTTTTATCAGGCCAGGCTGGTCTTAGCTGGTTTTTTAGCAGTTTTTTTACTGAATCAACTGGTTTTAGCTGGATTGGCACAGACACATGTAGCAACATGCTAGTACCTGGCTAATCATGCTAGAAACATGCTAACAGAATGCTAGTAACTTGTTAATCATGTTAACAACATGCGAGTAACATGCTAATCATGCTAGAAACGTGCTAGTAACTTGTTAATCATGCTAAAAAAGCCCAACACCATGCTAGTAATGAGTTAATCATGCTAGAAACATGCTTGCAAATTTATAAACATGCTAGCATTGTGCTAAGCATGCTAGAATCATGCTAATAATGCTAGAATCATGCTAGCAACATGCTAATCATGCTAACAACATGTTAGTAACTTTTTTGCTAATCACGTTAGAAAAACAAATGCTAACTAAATGCTAGTAAAATGCTAATCATGGTAACATCATGCTAGTAACATGCTAGCAACATGCTAGTAAACTTGCTAATCATGCTAGAAACATGCAAGTAACTTGTTAAACATGTTACCATCATGCTAGTAATATGCTAATCATGCTAGAATCACGCGCTAGCAACATGTTATTAACTTGCTAATCATGTTAACAACAAACATGCTAGAGACATGCTAGCATCATGCTAGTCATATGTCAATCATGGTAGAATCATGCTAGTAACATGCTAATCATGCTATAAACATGCTAGTAACTTGCTAACAAAATGTTAACCATGTTAGACACATGCTAGTAACATGCTAGCAACATGCTAGTAACAGGATAATTGTACTAACATGCTAATCATGATAGAAACATGCTAATAATGCTAGCAACATGCTAGTTACATGCGAATCATGCTAAAAACATGTTAGCAAACATGCTAGTCATGCTAGAAACAGCCTAGCAACGACCCCAGGTACCCTAGAAAGAAGTTTTATACATATCTGTTTTTCTGATAGACTGCATTGCCTTGAAAACATTCAAAAACTTATATCTTTAAAAAATATTTTACCATTCAAACTACTTCAAACTGAAAACTTTCAGACTGCAAGCTTTTAAAACGTTTTCAAACTTTCCATCTAGGCTTTTTCAAGCCAACTTAAAGTGTGTCTACAAACTTCTCGATCTAGTTTTGAATTGTTGTCTGATATGGACAATGCATGGACAGCCAGGGTTATTATCAGGGATGCACATAAAAATAAACAAATTAAAAATTGAATAAGTTCAGACCGCTCTTTGCACACTGACATTGTAGACAGCTGTTAATGCACTTAACATTAACTGTAATACTGTAGAAGATTTCCATTCACACGGAATGCATAAATCTACAGAAGGTTTCCGAGCAAATACGCACAACTGTGCCACTTCATTCCCTGATGTGTTTCACTGGCAGTGCTAAAACTGGCAGCGCGCGCACTTACTTGCCAGCAGCCCGCCAAAATAAACGCTTGCCGATTTAAAACTATTTGCTGATGAAAATGTAAATATTAGCATTGCATTTTTATTGTATTTTATCACACTTTATTTATTATTTTGGATAAAATAATAAATCAGTAAAGTGCCACACAGTGTGCAGTGAGTGTGAGCACCACACCAAATCTCCAGGCGCTATTACCAGAACCAGCATCCCTGGTTATTACAGCTAACTAAAACTAAAACCATAACAAAACAGTTGTTACTTAAAAATAAAACAAATATGAACAAAGAATGAGTAAATGAATTCAGAGTAAATCAAGACATCTGAAGACTGTAACAGCTTGAGATGATCCACTGCAGGATAATGATCTTTCATATGCATGGAAATAAAAACTGGACTGACTCAGTAATGTGATTTTAATTGCTCATCTTGTATGACTTCAATAAAAAATCGTTAAAAACATAATTTTTACAAATAAACATCAATGCAGTATTTCTTGCAAATCACTGTAATGCAGATCTATTAGAAAGCACCCTTTATAGGGTGTCTTTAACTTAATGTACTTATTCTGTACAAGCACTGCTATTGAGGTGAGATATGACATGTTTAGTGGAATGGGTTGGTTTAAGAGGTATGTGTAGCTGTAATTATAGATGTACTGTAACTACAGAAATTAGTTACAGATTGCAGGTATTTTTTTATACAATGTAATAACATGTATGTGCACAATTCGTGCATTATATCAAATGATTGATTTAAATGTTAGTACGCAGTAGTTCAAGACACTTCACATAGAGTGGGTCCAAAAGCTCATTATACTTATTGAATCAATACTAGAAAGTCTGAGAGTCTGAAATATTATTTTATATTCTCCCTAATTAAGCCAGTTTTTTATGATAGGTTACAAAAGAAATACGCAATTGTCTACAGACGATGTCGTGATGTGCAATGTTTCCATTTGAGCTTCACTTGGCTTCATCAGAGCGATGATCCGCCATGACTAAACCGATAAGGCTGTGTGTTTGCCAAAGCATCAGGTCAGTGCAGTCTTGTGGAGATGGTGCGGATTTATAATGAGTTTCCAGCAGACTGAGGGTGGTCTACGTCACACAGTATTGCCTTGTTCTACACACGGCAGGAGCGTTTTGACACGCAGTGGATAACAACGCTCCAAAGTAATCACACGCTTGACTTTGACATATGACTGCGCAGAGGCAGAGTTGGGTGCATGCACTGGAATCTCTCTGTTGATTAAATCCAGCACACGAGTCTCTGACGCGCTGTACTTCTACTCTGTGTGTGTGTGTGTGTGTGAGAGAGAGAGAGAGTGTGTGTGTGTGTGTGTGAGCATGTGTGAGAGAGAGAGTGTGTGTGTGTGTGTGTGTGTGTGTGTCTGAAACAGACCTCAAAATACCATCACAAAAGGTTGCTGAATGCTGGAGTTAGGCGATAACAGAAAATGGCAAAGCCTCACACATGTTGAAACTAACTAATCAGCTATCTCCATTGATCAGCACATGCCTGATACTGATAAAAGCGCTCCACGACTCTCTGTCAGGTGTGTGTTGATGCAGTGAGAGTGTGAGGAGGACGAGCCGCTCAGGTAGAGACGAGGCTCAGAATAAATAGAGGGTTATAAATAACACAGCACTGATCTAAGCAGCAGTTAAGTGCTGGGTGGCCTGCAGGATGCTTAATTGTCACTCATGTGCCGCAGGTAGTGCTGGCAGGAGTCTGTCTGTCTCTCATTAGGAAATAAACTCCTCCACTCACCGACTGAAGCCTCGCGCTCCTCCAGAAAACACTCCACAATCAGACGGGCCAGGAGAGCCGGAGACAGGTCCACCTGACAGAGACACACAGAGACGTGCTGATCAACACACCTGCATTCACTGATGACCGATACTGGAGGTGCAATCGTTTGATCTGATCCTCAGAGTCTTCATCTGCTCCACCGCATCCAATAACACTGTCATTTTAAACCAAAGTAATGAGTTCATATTCAATGCACTGTAGTTACAAAAATAAATAAAGTCACTTAAAAAAAGCATGTCAATTGTATGTGTCTATTTTAACATCAATCCAGTATGGAAGCCCGTTTCTGCCACTGAATAAAAAATACAAAAAGGTTATTGCGACTTTTTATCTCACAATTCTGACTTTTTTTCTCAGAACTGCATGATATAAACTCGCAATTGCGAGTTATAAAGTCCAATTTTGAGGGGGAAAAAAGACTGATATGATCTTAGAATTGCAAGATCATATCTCACAATTCTGACTTTTTTTTCTCAAAAAAGTCGCAATAACTTTCTCCACAGAGTAACAGCTGAAGTAAATCAAATTTGAATTTGAAAGATATTATTTGTTACTCCAAAAAATGAAAATGAGTCTATGTAAGTGCAGATAATTATACATAATGTATAATGTATTTAATACATACGCTAACAGTTATACAAATATTAAGAACTTCAGTTTTTTTATTTACCTTTTTCCATTTGTATATTAGTTTGTTTCAGTGTCTTTTATGGAATCAATATTTTGTATTTTGAAAAAAAATTATCGTTTGTATAGTAAATGGTGTGTTAGAAATGTGTAATGACATTTTCTACATTTGTACACAAGTTGTTGTACTGAATGAATTAATCAAGCTCAACCATTAAACCCAACTGTTACTGTAAGATGAAAAATTATGAATCAAAATATCTTTTCAAATATTCAAACTTACACACACACACTAAAATTACCACAAAACAACATTAAATCCCAGATGAGCTACCAAGTTTTTTCTTTCTTTCTGAAATTGTTAATTTTATGAACATTTCATTTCATAAATGTTCAGTTTTATGTCAAATTTTTAAGCAAAAACTACTCTATATTGTAAAATAAAACCAGATTTTTAGTTTGATCTTAAGGTTGCAAGGTTAATCCCCTCCTTTCACTAAAAAAAAAGAAAAGCCCCATTCTGTCACCTATTCATAGAAACTTTATAACCCCAAAT